TTTTAAAAGGCAAAATGTAAACAAATACATATTTACTTATTATTAAAATGTTACATATGCAGAAGATGGTTATTGGTATCTGGCCAATGAGTAAACGTTTTGAAAATAATTACCAGGACATAAAAGATAAAAAGCTGTGTGAAATGAAAGCAAAGCATTCTGTGGCATAATGGACCTTTAAAGATAGCCTCTACAGTATTGTAATCTTTTACATTGGCAAAAAAAGAAAAAAATCAAACTTGACCAAAGAATGCTTTTGAATATTGAACAATGAAAGAAAATCATATAGAAAAGGGATTCTCCTATCCTACAAGCTGAGTTATCCATCTTTGAAAATAAATTTGTTTGTTGTTGTTGTTTTTCTCTCTTTCTAGGTCATTTTCAAGAACTGGTAAATAAAAACATTTTATATGATTATGAAATAAAATGTTTGATTGAAATAAACACACAAAAACTCCAAACCTGAAATCATTATTATTCCTACTATGTTTCAAAATATGGAACTATGAGTAAAATGTCATAATCTGTCTAAGATAAATATCTGGAGGTTCATTAAATGACCTATTTTATGACAAGTAGATCTGCAAAATAGCTCATATTTCAATCTATAATTAGATTCTTTTAACTTGAAACTTAAAATACTGAGGATTATATCTAGTTTGATAAAAGTTTATTTCAGTTATTTTTATATTCTTGATCGTTTATTTTCATCCATGATTTTCATTCGTTATGTTTCTGTCATTACTTTACAATTATTGAGAAACAAGTCCCTCTTATAATACATTTCTATATTTCTATTTAAAGCAGCATACCTCCATATTCATGCTAATTTTCCTGAAAATTTTGAAAATGTATTTAAAAGTAAAATATTGTGAAGTGACCAAAAAAGTAATTTACACATTGTAAACGGCACTTATAATCCACGTATATTACAAAAAGAGGTCAAAATATACTAGTACATAAATACCTCTTACTGCGTTAGTAACGCAGTAGAATTATAGTGATTGATACTGCAATAATCAGTCATTCATCGCACATAACATGTAAATAATTAATTAAACATTGAATCTTTTTACTTTTCTTAAGATCTTATACATACTTCTAAAAATTAAATTAAATATTTTGGCTCATCTGAAGGCTTACCGCTTTAAAGGGACTCAACACATGACGAGACTGGAAAGGTTTTTTCAGAGATTTTTATACTACCTGTGAACCAACAGTTTGAGTACCAGTCTTTATAACACTCCCTACACATGCAGATGTTATTTTCCCCCATTTTAAGCGTTTCTGTAGAAATTGTCTAGCTTAACACTACCCAAACAAGGAACAAGCTGATTTACATAAGTCACATATTAAGTAGAGGCTATAAATTCAACAAACAAATGAGTTTACAAGTAACTCACACATTAGTTTTTCTCACACATTTTATACTATTACTCGAGTTACAGTTCTTTTTGAGTGAGACTAAATAAAGGATTCATTCAGAACTGCCTCGGCTATTATCTATAATATTAACCTCGGAAACAATACGGATCGAAAGTAGTTCTACCACGTGGTTTACAAATGTAAACAGAAACAGAGATAATGTAAAACGATTGAATAAATTTGACATGTAATGTCAGTTCCGGTACTCTTATGCTTGAAAATATGTCTGACAACAATTTGTTATTTGAATATGCCCACTGATGTTCAATTTTAAACAAATCTGACTAAATGTCAACAGGTTGGGTTTTTGTACTTTCGGTTTCTACAGCCATAATAGTAATTAAATATATAAATAATGTACTGTTTGCTTTTGTACCTATGAATTCACTTATTTTAGGTGGACTTTTACTACATATATTGGAAATAAACGTGTCAACAACTCCCAGCATTAAATTACTATTTGTTTACATGTTTAGTTTCTTAGCGTAGGTTAGACCGGAATACCGCATTCGTTCTGTGTATTCATACTATTGTGTTCGAGGTCCTAATCCGAAGACTGACGGAAAGGGCCGAGTAGTTGCGATTGTAAAGGATAAGAGCGCTACACTAAATACCATATTCGTATTCCGGTGTGTACCGGGCAAGGCGCTAGAATGATTAAATGCTGAAATCTCGACTTTTCACTCAACTTCTTATGTATCTCTTTACACATCGATATATTTATACGATAATGAATGAAATATTTAAGAATCTGCGAAAAAGGGGAAAAAAGAAACGATATTTGTCCTTTTTGTGATCATAATTTCTGCAAGCGCCTAGATGTACAAATGTTCTGATCCAACACTTCATTCTTTTTGTTCAACGAGCAACTTGTTTCCTTAAAGTCTAAATTTTGTGAAACGACGGATAAACAAATGCGGTTGGATCTCATATTCAAATCGTGTTTAAATTTAACTTATAAACCGTGATCCTTTTTAACCCATTACTTCATATACACGCCTTTTAACACCTTTTTCACCCCCCCCCCTTTTTGTTGTCTCAAATGTTGAAAAAAATGCCTTATTTAGGCCCCCAACACTTGTTTTGGTTTGAGAAATGTTGTTAAAAAAAGTGACCACTTTTTCGGCGCGGCCCCCAACCAATAGATACATCAGGTGGTTGCCAGAAGGGGGATGTGCCCCCTTCTGTTTGGGGGGTTTGAAGGGGGGCGGAGTCCCCGTCATCGCCAAGAAAATTTTGGGCTTGTGAGAGGCTATAAATGACCTCAGATTGATCATAAGGTAACGAGTAACCAACGCTGAAAAGCATTTGACTCTATCTCAATCCATTGAGAAGTTGCAGCACTTTGAAATTAATTATGATGGAAAAAATCAACGCAAAATAGTGATTTTTGGCAATTTTGAGATGTCCCCTCGTTGCCATGGTAACAGAAAATTTAAGCCTGAGCATGTTGTTGCAAGGGCAATGGTCCAGTCACCAATTGTGCCAAGTTTGATTAGTGTTGAAGCAGTTTTTATAGTATTATAGCAATTTGAACTTGTCACGGGAGACTTTTCAATGAAAACAGCCATTTTTCACAAAATGCTCATGAAGTAATGGGTTAAAGGCCATCTTTGCCTATGCTCATTAACTTTCCGTTGTGTAGTCACAATATTATTACATAAGTCATTTAAATGTTTCATTTTTATTGTTTTATATAAATAATGAAGAAATGTGACATATTAAAAGACATTTTATCTTTATTCTTCACGCATTTCTGAAATATAAAAATAAGATAAATATAAATATTTTAGAGAATTTCTATTGTAATTTATCTTTATTAAGGACTAGTATGTATTTGCGAAGATGATCTATTCAAACTTCGTTACATAAAAATATATACACATATATGAGAAATAATAAAGTAAGCAAAAAGTCAAAACATCGCATTTTAATTTCTATTTTAGAAGAAAGCGGCTTACAGCATTTTCCACATGTGAATCTACATTCAGGACCAAAAGCGACGCACGCAAAATTAGCATGGCTTTGACACAGCTGCGGGAGCGCGTCAACGCAATAACCGCTATGCGCATGCGTGGACGGTTTAGTTGTTGTAGGCCTAGTCGTAGTTGGAATACGTGGTGGTGGTGGTGGTTGTTGTTGTTTTTGTTGTTGTAGATGCTAAATAGCAAATAAAAAAAAGATATTTGTTCACTAAAATTAAAAGTTTTAAAAAGACTCTGTTTAACATACTTAAAAAAGTATATTTCAGAACTAATACGTGGACGAGGGTGTTCTATCATGCTGTCCAGATAAAATCATTAACTCTTTCTGTAAATTAAAATAGTTTCTAGTTCTGTTCATTTTTTTCTACTCTTTACAGTTCAAGCATAGGCTTTACAATCTTTACACCGACATACATACACATCCAGCATCTCTAGGTCTTCGAGAATTATGTTTCTTGTCGAAAATGATTCAAATAAATTTACGTCACAAAAATAATATAGCAAAAATAAATGCATCTACATGTAAAACACCAAACTATGCCGACGAACGTGAAATATAAAGTTGATGATAATGAAAATATCAATGTTGAGTTTGTGGAAAGATTGTTTTAAACTGTACACACGCCCATTACACCTGTCTGTATCACAACATTGTGTCTGAACAGCGCTCGAGCTCCTGCCAAACAACTCTCCTCTATGTGGGATACACATCTGTATAATGGGGGAAAAAATGCTGTAGTAAAACAAAAATTGCAGAAGGTTGCACCTTATATGACTTTTACATGCCAGCTTTAAAATATATAAAACAGAAATATGCTTTTAAGAGAGAATCAGCGCAACAATCAATTACAAACAACTTCTTTTTGTTAAAAAATGAATCAAATGACTTCTTGTTGTATGTTTGCCAGATTTTTAAAGAAGCGGAATTATTTACGGTTAACACAAACATGCAATTTTCATACCAGCCTACTAACCGTTCTAACTAAGGGCATTACTTGCACAAGAATAATAAAAGAAGCACGTGCATACCAATCTTTCAATTTTGAATATGATATATGTAAGTGGCATTTGTTTAATGAAACAGTATTTATATATAATAATTACAGAAAACAAAGTGATCTCCGGTTATCAGCGTCAGAACAGTTCAAAACAAGGCTTTATTATCTAAGTCTGGTTTCGTAACTATTGTCCTGTTATATACTGCCGAAAAGGTGTAAGGTTCATTATCAAATACATTCTCCTTTCCACAAAATACTGTATCCTTATTTTTATATAGTTTTTTGTATTCTCTCTACAATCCCTCTCGACTGTTTCGTCCCGTCATATGTTTTCTCCGTATATGATATTTGTTGGAGTGCAGTGCTCTCAGCGCTTTGATTTTTTCTCTAATACATACATACCTCTTTCGATATACATCCTCCAGCGAAACCATGGCTACGATCAAAGTCGAAAATCTCCGCGGTGTAGCAAGTCTGAAAATATAAACCACCATGTACAACAATAAATTAACAACACCCTTAAGAAAGACACGTTTGAGTATTGCTTTAAATCAGGGAAAAAATAATAATCGAGGTAAACACCAACCTGGTTTGGTTCACATGTAGTTACATTTATGCATTGTGACATATCTTGCACGAGATCTTGGCACGTGAAACATTCAAGAGCTATAAATAGAAATAAGTGAAGCATTTTATTATGGTTCAATATTTGATGACATGGCGTCTTGAAAAATTACGGCAACATCATTGACGTCATAAGAATGAGATACATTGTACAAAGTGGTTAGTGTCACAGAGTGTGAAAATATGTGCAGTCTGACCGGGCACCAGTACAGGACCCTCGTAAAAAGCCATCTGGCCGCTTATAATCTCAGTGAACAGTTCTTAAATCGTGACCACTTTGCTGTTTGACGAATTTACAGGGTTTCATCAAAATGAAAACATCAGCTTGGTTTCAAACAAAGCATTTCAACATTATTTGAAATGGCAAATTTAGAAACACGTATGTTATACTGCAAAACGAAAGATTTACAAAATCATTCAAAGCGATGTAACTATAAGAAGTAACCATGTCATCATTTTGTAACCTGTTTATTTGATTAGATTAAACAATAGCCCAAATCACTATCTAATTATGCTGTACTTTATATTTTTACGACATTCTTAAAATTTGCAATTCGGCACTCAAACTTACGGCACATTCCACAATATCTTTGGCATGCTGTTTCGCCAATGCTAGAATTACAAAGGTCCGGTTTGCTCTTTTCCATCAATGCGCATGCTTGACTGTCGACATCCGAGCACGTGCTGTCTCCATGTGCACATTTAAGTACGAATAGGCCTAATATTAAAACCAATTCTGGAACAGAAAATAATGTTATTTTTAATTAATTAGAAAAAAAATAAGAACATATTTTGTATGAACTATGGCTAAAGATGAAATGTGAATGGCAAATAAAATTTAAAAATAGAAATAGAAAATCCAAGAACTGTGAAGGACAGTCGCCACCTAACACCGGTCACAAAAGAGCAAGAGTATACTATTCACAAAACCAGGTTATATAACAATAGGTTAATCCTTTCAATAATGTGGGATACATTTTGCACACAGGAATATTCCTCTGCTACTTGCATAATTATATGAAAAAAACGTCTAACGGCCAACTTTCCTCTCAATCGGAACATCTTCGGCTATTATCTATAATAACTTATCCGAAGACTAACGGAAAAGGCCGAAAAATTGCGATTGCTTTCCCCTAACATAATTCAATTATATTTACTCTACTATGTTTGCAAAGGCACAAACATCTGTAAAAAATGGCTGAATTTCGTCTACATCTCCCCAACCAGCATTTTCTTTCAGAAAACCTAAATAAGAACAAAGGGTACGTAAATAACAAACATGACAAACATCATGTAAGATCAATTATGAAAAACAAAAATAAAGTTGAAGATAAACATCATTTTACACCAATAATGAAAATTAAATGTGAAGGACAAACGCCAAATAACATCAATAATGATAATCAAAAGGCATACATGTGAAGGACAAAACTCATCGGACATCAAAGAAGGGAAACAAAGGAAATGTGAAGGACAAATCAATCGGACACCAATGATGAAAGACAAAAGAACTGTCAGGACAAACGCCATCGAAAGACAATAATGAAACACAAAAGAAATGTGAGAGAAAATACTAAGAAACACGGAAAATGATTTGCAAACACTCAAACGGAGAGATAAAAAACTAAATTAACCAACTTTTCAGATGAAGCAATGTAAGAGAAAACAAACATAGACGGACAAAACAATACAAAAAGAAGAACCAAAGGAAAAACATCATCTTTAGAAAATATGTTGAAGAGCTATGATCTGGAAAATAACTTCATTGTATTGCGAAGTCATACAACATTTAAACCAATACAAGAACAGTGTAAAGGCAAATTAAAAGTAACATTAAAAACAGTACAGTCAATGGAAAGGCTAACAAAGCATTAAAAAGAAGTTATAAGAAGGATACACAATAAATATTATGTTTTAACACTAAATTACCTCATGGAAATCAATAACCGTCTGAAAAAGATAAGTGCTGAAATGAATACGGGCAACACAGAAAACAAACACTTTCCCCAGTGTTATATAATAATATAAAAAAAAACATTTAACAAGGACACCCACCTTCCAAGACCAATTTTGAAAACAACAACACAAAATAATAAAAAAATACTTTTTTTGACAAATATAACTCTAAAATAACCTACTTGAACTATAAGCCATCGTTTTGTTCCTTTAAAGTCACATGGACTGTTCAAATTCAAACGATTGTATAATAAATACTACATAACCAATAGATAAAATCTCATGGTTTAAACTACAGTATACTAGTGATGCCAGTTATAGAAAAACTCAGGTCGAATTTTGATTCGAAAGAATGCTATACTGGTTGATTGGTTTGTTTATTTATTTGTTTGTTTGTTTGTTTGTCGGTCGGTCGGTCGGTTGGTCGGTACGTAATATGGTGATCAGTTTTTACACCAATATGGAATAGTATTGTTTTCCAATTATGTTAAGTATTTAAATTATATAACACATAAAGCTTAATTTAAATAAGAACATTATTTGCTATGTTTATCAAGAAATCTAGCATTTACTATTTGTGAATTTAGATGTTCAAAGGTCGCTATTTTGGTATAGAAAGAGAAAATAGAATCTGCTCACTTTGTAACCAGCGAGAAATAGGTGATGAATTTCACTATATTTTTTATGTAGTTAATTTACTCATACAAGACACGAGTATATCAGTAATTACTATTTCAGGTTTCCAAGCATTTTAAATTTCCAGGTGAGGACAGAAATACTTAACTTAATCTTGTAATGTTTGTTAAAGCAATTATGCTGAAATTTCATGAAGTCATCTTCCTTATTTACTTCTATGCCATGTTTGTATTATTATTATTTGTTGTATTGTGTATTCACTTTTATGCCCCTAAGGCCCATGAGTTTTGTTTATAAATAAAAATAAAATGAGCTATTTAAGTTTAACACGACTCATATGATATTTTACAAAACATAATTATTATCTTGAGTGCTCTTTCTTGAAGTACAAAGTACGAGTGCTGGTGCCACATGAAGAAATACGGCCGCGAGCCTATATGAATATAGTCCGTGCATAATATGGTGTAAATGATACTAAATACAAAATAATAATTTGAAAGTCAAGCTGTATATCGGAAAATAATTAGAAGAGCACTCAATCTTCAATACAGAGTTGTCGTTCCCTTCACATCACATGAATGTACGGTGGCTGATTTACGCCATGTCGTATTTTCGCTTTTTCGTCACATTCACTTTTTGGGTTTTTTTACCAGAGGTTTGGTGAGGGATTTGTCGTATTTTGCACCGCGGGGCGAAAAATGAAAATACGACAAAGTAACAAGTGATCACATTGTCGTAATTTAATTAGTTTTTAGCCTGGCATCGTATTTTCGTGATATCATACCCCACGAAGCGACAAGTTAAATAACGAAATTGCAACAAAATGATCACTTTGTCGTGTTTTCGCATGTCGCCCCGCCAAGCAAAATTACAACATGACATCAATCAGTCACCATAATAGCTTTAACCGGAATACTGAATCCATTTTTTGTCCGATGATTGACGAAAAGGTCGAAATGTTCCGCTGAAGCTCTAATTGATCAAAATCTCTGTAAATTAGCTCACAGAATCTGTTTTTTCGACAGAGGGTTGCTCGTTTCAAACGTTTGACACCTGATCATTGTCTGCACTGTGTCCTATTCAGTCAGTACATAATTATAATTTTCCCCCTAAAAATGATGAATGGTTCCGTCCAGATTGACTGTTGGACGGATCCAATTAACACATCAAGCATGGAAATGATTAAAAATTACCTGCTCAAAATAGCTGTTTTACTTTGAAATCCTTCAAGCTCACTGTGCAGAATTCGAAGCAGGTAAAGTAAAAATTCCATTTAATGTGTTAATTAATGAATTTTTATTCTTTCTGTTAATGGCTGAGAAATTCTTTGTCATTTTTAATTTTTGTCACATGATTTGTTTTTCAATGTTTCATATTAGAGCAGCATGCCTTCATATTCATGTGAATTTTCATGAAAATTTTGAAATGTATTCAAAAGTGAAGTATTGTGAAGTAATCAAAGAAAACAAGTTACACTTTTCAACCAGAAATCTTGTGGGATAAGTACATGAAATATTGGTGCGTCATCCAAGAAAGGTCCAACCATTAAAATATCATAAAAATGTGTTTATATTCACATTATATCAGACAATTGATGTTCAGTAGTTATACACATTTATGTAAGTGCATACTGGTAGTGGTTTTTCTCACTTGATTGGGAAGAGGCCTTAGCCTTTTTGATTGTTGGGAAAAGTTATGGCTAAAATTGCTAATTTGGGAAGTAATAAGAATGGTGTAAGTTCAGATATTTGGGAAAACTATGAGTTTAAAAATGTTTCAATTGGGAAGAGGCCTTTAACAAGCCTCAGTCATGTAAGGAGCAAAATCAATTACAGGAATATTCAGTAGTTAATTAAAATAATAGACTCCGCCCCCAATTAAAATAATAGACTCCGCCCCCATGTAAAACAATAATTTTATTTTATGAATATTTGTTAATCTATTTTGGCAGACTCTTCTTGGTAGGCTTGTCAAGTTGTAGTCCTATTTGAATTTTTGAAATATGTTGAAATTACTGGACACAACATTAATTTGAGAAAATTGCTTCATTACAATAATGTTTTCTGCAATTGAATAACCTACGGAAGCCTAGGAGTATCATTTATTACTTATTAATAATAAATGATTATTATCAATTACATTATAAAAGTTATAACTTATTAATGAATTGTGTGTGCTAACCAGACACCGCTCATTTGAAACTGTGCTGGGTGCCATTATTAATACCCAAATGGGCATTATTAAAACTAGAAAATCATTAAAGATTTAAGCAATGGCAACAACATGACTGTGGTATCGTATCGAAATATTGTTTAACGACATGAAGCTTTTAAAACATCAATAACTTTTGATTCAGGTAATGTAGGTAATTTTGGTTAGGTTTCAAGTTTTACCAAAACTGTCATGGTCATAAGGCGACTTTCCAGTTTTATTAGTTAGAATGTGCTCCGTACCCTTCCCTAAAGTAAATGTATTCCGTATCCCTTTTAAAAGCACGTGCTCCGTAGTATTTCAACTTGATGAGAACTAATGCTAAATCAGTTAATGTAAAATATCAGCAAGAGTAAATCATAAATAAGATACATTACAAGCCCAAGTGTTCTCGTATAAATAAAATACATAAATTTGAAGGGGAAAAACATTCATAATTAATAGCAAATTTTCATAACTTTTTTTCAGATTTTATTCAAAATGATAGAAAATTTGTGTGTACCGTATCCTTTAAAATAACAGTGTGTTCCGTACCATTTAAACATAACTTTATGATCACTGCTTTCACTAGATACATTGGACTTAGTAAATATAGAAGAAATTATTTTTTTCTACGAAGCAGTGAAATAAGGCAGACGACTCACTAGAAGTCGCTTTTGTGTACCGTTCCCCTCGGCCCCGGCTATGAAAAATCAAAGTGCTGCAGCACTGAATGCGACGGACATGCAACCGGAGAGACATTAAGGCTTCTTTTAGAAAAAACAAAACAAAAACAAAACACAAAATATATAACAGAGAAAATTTGTTCCATACAAGTTCGAGATTTGTAGAGCAATATATTTTGTGTCCCAAACTGATATAATTCAGATTTTCTACTTTCAAGCACTTAAATACAGAATGAAATTTATGCCTAAAAACTCTGGTCAAACTTGTAAATCAGTGTCCTTATCGATTTATTCCAAGAAATGATATGTAAATAGAAAAAAAAACTGTCAACGAAATATTTCTAAAAAAAAACCAGGCAAATAAACTTCAAACATAATACTTATACATTTGAGAATGCTATTTAGAATTGCTTCGTGTTATATCATAGTGGGCATATAGACAATAAAAAAATAAGTCATTTGTATTTTTTTTTCTCTTGGATATGTCTCATTAAAAAAATTTTTGGTTAAAATCATCACCAATTAATAGTGTATTTTTTAGATTTTTTTTATTTACAAGGTAAAGATGTAGAGACCAGAGCACATCGTTTTTATTTTAATTTAAATGTCACTTAAGCACTACAGTGTTTAGTTGTCCTTTTCGATGTCACACTAAATTCCATTTTCAACTTGTTTGCTTCTTACAATTGTATAGAATTTCTAAAAGTATTGCATGTAATCCGCTGGTTTATTACATGTATAATGTATACTCCCTAATCGCCTGTCCAAAAATCAGAACAGGTGAAGCAGAATCTATTTTTAGAATAGCGAAGGTTAACTCATATCATGACCTAGAAAAATATGTAAACAAACCACAAAAGAATCGGAAGTAGAACTGATATTATAACTTCCTTACCATGAAAGACTACATGGCGGTAAAGTGTTGAAAAACTCTCTTCTTACATGCATTTTCAAAAATAGATATTTATACTAACCATTGTACTGTATCTAATTTATTAATAACTGCTGAATATTCAGCTTAACCCGCGGTATGAGTCACGAAAATAGTTCTTCTTCTATTAATGCGCGAGTTATCCTAAAGTAAAGAAAAACTTTTGATTTGTTAATAATAATGTTTTGTATAATGTAAAAATATTTATTTCCTACTAATAATGTCTTGGAACTCAGAGGTTACACTTTTATTGTAGTATAATTTGCTGTCCTACTTTTTCGACAGCGGTAAATCGTTTCGGCAGTAATTTGCATATTGCGCAATAATACTACGGGACTACAACGTTTTTATCAATAATATACGTTCATATTTTAACTTGGATAACTTAATTTGAAATTGAAAAGGCTAAATATGGAAGATTTTAAGATATCCAGACAAAGTATGGGAGTTTTGAAGGATCAAATTCATGTACTATTTCTTGAGCTGTTAATCGGTTTAGGACACATTGCGCGATTGTAGCCAACGAATTCCCATGTGTAGATGACTTAGCTCTAAACGCGCCTGAGGGCGCGTCCGTCGCAAAAACTGTACTCGAATGTTCTCAACAACCATTCAAGGTTTTTTTTAAATAATTTTTATTTACCGTGTATATCTGATATAATTACGGGTACTCTGTCCCTTACCTGATCAAAATAGATTGAGTAGCAGTTAAGTTATTAGTAAAAAACATAACTGAATCACAGGCACGAGTATCGGACATGGGAAGAAAAAAAATGACCAGATTGATAAAAATCCCTGTGTAAATCTTAAATGTGTCAGAAACCAAAAACTTTTTGGAAAATATGACCCCCCTGTAA